AATGTACCAAACCCAGATGGCAAAATTCTACAGCAAATAGAGTAAACTGTTTCATTTTTTTGACAATTTACCTAGATCTACATTAAGTACATTATCTTGCTTTTTACAACATATAATAGAATTTGAATTTTGACAAAATATACTTCTTGAGCAAATGCCACCGATATCACAGATTAACCCTATCTGTACGTCGTGTTTTACTATCATATCCATACAACATGGGGAACTCTGTGCCACCACTTTCCAAAGAGGAAATTTGCTCGTTAATCCGATCCGTATGCTTCGCATAGCAGTCTGTCAACATGATTTTTTGAGAAATACTGAAAGTTTCAATGAGATCTTCGTACTAGAAGTATTCTAAAATGTGAAGAATACAACCCCGGGGGTACAAAATGACCCCAGGGCGTACGGATAGGGTTAAGAAAGTGCAATAAAAAAGGAATAAAAATTTTAAGCTTAGTACATTTTAATAGCTGGCTGACAATATAAATACATATACACACACACATATACATATACACAAATAATGTGGTAAGCTAAGAAGTGAGACTAAAAAAACCCCCTCAACAACACATGAATTGAGCAGACAGGCCAGACGTAGGATTTCACATGCCAAAATATTGTGTCAGTGTCCTTGAGAAAAACTGGACCACACAACAATTCGTATTGCACCAGAGCAGTTCAGTTTTGCAAAGCGTATAATGCGTGTCATTCACATGGTATCATGTCTTTCATTCACACATGTATCCTTCCATAACCCCTTAACACTTTGCCATCACAAGGCTCATATAGTAAAAATTCTTGCCATCAAAGGCAAAGGCATTTTGGGGAAAATCCAAAGAAACTGGGAGGTAAACATCGCCGATCCCTGCTAGCCTGTGGAGTGGATGACCTTGGTTTGAATCCCTAAAGGGAGTTTTTGAACTTGGGTTTTGTGGAGATTTCAAGGGCATTAAGCTCTGTCCTGTCAGAGATGGACGTTAAATCTGGAGGTCCCGCCTCTTAAGTAACCTAACAGAGTTGAAAGGGGCGTTAAACCCACACAATGACTTGTTTACAACTCCTCCTTTCCCATAAACATTTTAATTCTCTGCTTTTTTCTCGCCATTAGCTGGCAGTGACTTCTGTCTGCATTAAAAAACTGTCCATTCCTACACTTTTTGGTGATGGTGAGTGTGCCTACCTAATCAGGCCAATGTATGTCACAAAATGGCAACTGCAGTGAGGTGCATGGAGTGGAATCACTATCTGAACTTTGAGCAAACCCCCCCCCCT